GTTAAGCTTTCTTCATTTCTTTTACTCGCTTCATTAAGTTTTTGTACAAACATTATCAAGATTGTATCCAAATGATTAAAAAGAAGATGACTGCGATGATGAAAAAGCGACGAAGAAGAAAAACAAATCATAGCTTGCTTTGAAAAAATCAATTCGTAAATATCTTCAAGAACCTGAAGATGTGAATTTCGAGGGTACAAAGCTAAGAACAAATAATTTGGTTCATTATTAAAGTCAATTAAACTAAGCATTGTAGCAAGTCAGAGTTTTTTTTCTATTTTTTAAAAATTTTGTATGCAATAGATTGTGAAAAATTTAAAACCGTTTTGTAGAAAAGTTGAGATTCGAAAACCGGTTTTTTATATAAACCCTATTAGAGATTGACTCCAAGGCAGACTTGAGTAATCAATGGCCCGAGGGCCACATGCCGCACAACACGGTTATTAATAAGACCCAACGTAAAATTGAAATCACACAAATTTTATGGAATTACGACTAAAAATACAATTTCTTGTTCATCAGTTCATCCCTGCTCTAAAGGGTCCAAATAAGTTTGTAAAATGAAACTCTTGGTATGCAATTAATGGTATAAGTAAATTCAATTTATTAACTTTCTTTGATTTATTTATTTTTCATAGTTTTATCCCATTAATTTAATATATTTACAAAAAAAATATTAGTCCTTTTCGCTTATCGTCAATTTTTTTAAGGTTTTCAAATATATAAAATTGCTGATAAAATAGAATTTAGTCTATCTGAACTTTTTAACTCATTTTTAAGAAGTTAATTGTCCAACATAAAATGAAATTGTATAAGGACAGTACAATTTTATTATTATTTCTAATTTAATATATACGTTATTATGTAAACTTTATAATATTGTCTTAATTATACAATTATCAATAAATTAATTAAAAAAAACTCTAAAGTAATTAATGAAATTAATATGAAACCATTCTTTGAACTCAATATGTTAATTAATTAGTTTTAGTTTAATTACTTAAGATAATAGAATAATGACTTAATTAAAATGTTTATATTGTTGATTTGTAAAATTGTTCATAAAACATATGAATCTGCGGACGTGTACAATTTCTTTCTGGACAAAAGCTTGGCAACATTCTGATCTCTCAATTACTTATAAATCGTGGACAGATAATGGAGACTACGTGCACGGAATAAGTTTACCATTTTTTTTTTCGATTGTGTATGTGAATTGTATTGGGCCTAGTGCAGGAGGTTCATCCGTCGATGGTTTTGGACCTAACCGAAGACAAATCAATATTAACACCAAACACGTACGTTGCTTTGAAAACGGTTCAGTAAACTCGCTGCAATTTCAAGGGTTTAAATTACACGTTTTTACTCAATGGACAAGGGAATACAATATAAAGTGCTCCACCAAATGAAAATCTATGTACTATTTTATTGTAAGCATTGCTACAATACGCAATTATTTAATTGTCATATATTTACTTTTCTCTTTGAACAATTTATATTAATAATTATTTATTGCATATGAATTCAGTTATAGTGATGATTATGTAAATAGTCATGTTAAGTTTAAGTGTGTTTAATACTTGTTCAACATATCAATTTAAGAATAACTACAACATTCGCAAAGATAAATTACAAAAGAAAACAGTAAATTTTACTCATATTGGATAATTGAATAAAAAAAAACTTGTCTACAGTAGACATAAATTTTATATCTTTTTTTTGATTATCTTATTTATTTTCCTTGCGATATTTATCGTGAAAATTGATTTATTATTACTATATTTTTCTATTTATTTTCAAAATCAACAAATAATTAAAAAAGTAAAAAAAAAATTATCAAAATTTTATTTACAGAATTTGCTTTGAATCTTTGCTAAATTTGTTTCTGTGGTTTGAAATCATACTTGAGTGTACTATATTCACAGATCTTTAGTAAAAGCTGTCATAAACATAACATTGAAAGGACTGGAAGATTCTAAAGTCGAGAATATTATGTCGCTCAGAATGAGATTTTATAACTCTATTATGTATATTTATGTTGTGCCTTAGAAGATCGATTATAGCCGAATTACTGTAAAATGTAATATTCTTTGTAATGTAATATAAAAGTTATGATCATATGAAAACTAAAGTTCTGACTAATTCACATATATAAAGTATGAAGTGTTTAGTTATGTGATAATATATATGAATCATGATGATTGTACAATAGGTATTGTCAATACGTTATTTCCATTAATTGATATGAATTAGACAGATAAATATTATTATATTTTTTGTGACCAAATTTAAATCAGGTCATTAAAAAAATTGCTATTTGCTCACCGATTTAATAGCACTATCATATTATAAAATGTAAAAAAAATGAGAGAAATTTATATACTTTTAATCTGTTTGTATAAAAAGCTTAAATTTTGTATAATTATACCAAACAATGAATATTAACATCTATAATTTGCATTAGTAAGTTTGAAATTGAAATCTTTAAATTGCTGCAATTGGAAGACATAGACTGGTATCATTAAGATTTTGTGTATTAGAATAGTAACTACTAAATATAGTCATATCTCGGTTAACTTTATGTCTCGTAATGAAACTTCGATATAATTATTAATCGAGGTATAACTATATTTGGGAATTGTATTTCTAATTGTTCTCATTTCGTTTCGATAATTTCGATATGATTTATAAAATATTCGTATTTAATGGGTCTATATCGCAAGCCCGACAAAAAACAAGAAATCCCGACTATGTCAAAATCCCGACTATGTCAAAATCCCGACTATCATAATCCCGACAATCAAAATCCCGACTATATCGAGATCTTGACTACCATAATCCCGACAATCAAAATCCCGACTACCATATAAATGTTATTTTAGAAATTTATAATAATAAAAGACACTGTCGGGATTTTGATTGCCGGGATTTCGAATGTCGGGATTTTTAATATGTAATATCTTGAAATTTATCTGGACCTAAAGATTAAACAAATCAATTAATAGAGTGAAATACTTGAAATTAAATTTAAAATAATAATAAAAATTTAGTTATTAAACCTCGTTTAGCGCATTCTAATTCGATATAAAAAAGGCTTGAATTCACCTATTTAATATATGTTAAACGCATGTCAACTAGGAATGCATTCTATGCGCTAAACGAGGTTCTACTGAATGTGAAATTATTTTAAATATATTGCATAAAACTAATATTATCAAGGAGCAAACAAAAATAAGCTACTTAAAGATTGAAATTATTAAAAGGTTTTAGTATACATCTTATGAAAGAAAATAAATAATCTGAGGGATTTAACAAACATGAGGATATATGACAATATATACAATGGAAATAGTAGACTTATTGAAAGAAAGAAGTATCAGATAACAAAATTTCTTTGAATGCTCGTGTTACATACAGATCTACAGCTTTTACAAGTTTATTAACATTATCATATAACTACAGCGAAATTCTCATTTCCGATATTATTTATTATTATATCAATTTGTGAAAATTCTTCTTAATAAAATCGAAGTGATTACACAATTCAAACACATTAGAATAGATTTGTCAATTTAACAAAATAATTTACTAAAGAATATTGGCGAATTGCAAATGTATTTACTTGAAACATTAATTGTTAGATAAATTAAATTTATTGTTTTAATAGAGAAACAAGGACTACTAAAATCAATCAAATTATATTAATTTATATTATTAGACTACATTTTATGATATTATCAAATAAATTAAGAACATTTCAACAACGAATTTGTTACTTGCAAATGAAAATAATAATTTGTATTGCAATAATAACAACAATCTTCTGCAAATTGACTATAGGTCTTTCTGCGCTAAATGGATTTATTATTATGAAGTTATAACTTTGTATTGTTTTCATAAGCGATCAAATGTTACTAAAACAGATCTTATTACATTGTTTTAGTGTGATTAGGATACTTTTTTTTACAATATTAACAAAATACTACAGATTTTTTTTTAAATATAATGTTAATTTACTAAATATTCGAATAAATTGAAAAAAGTTTTTGTTTATTAATTAATAAAATTAATTCTAATTATAAATCATAACTAATAAATGTAGGTCACTTAATCACAGGTCATTACGCTCTTACAACTTATATATTGTTACAACTATAAGATTGTAATTTTAGTTTGTTATAACCTTGAAGCTACTAAAATGGATCTGGTTATATCAATCACTACAATTATTCTTCATATGCTCTTGTAATACGCCTTCATCCAATACTAGTAGTTTACTTTCACTTCATTTCCTTCATGCGTTTCATCAATTTATCATTGATTTTATGGTACATAGAAACTTGGCCTCGGTATCTCATGAACTCTATATATATATACACCATCATTACCATTTATTGGAAACCATGTGCATTCGCCATTCAGTTGTTTCTCCACGGCGTTCGTTCGTTTCATTAGAGCAATGCATGCAATAATTGATGATCCACGTAGGCCATCGATCCAGCTTGAAGTACGCCTTCCGGTGTAGTTTTTTCCCTTTTCCCATTGCACTCCTTCATTATCAATTTCATTGTGTTCGGTTCTGCTCTTTTTTCTTTATTTTCGGTCAAGGATAAAAATGGTATGTAAGGAATCGGTAATGGTGGAGGAACCAGTTTGTAGTGAGATATATGGGTTAGGATGTTGGATTGTAGGTGAGCGGAATGCGTAATGATGATGGGGAAACGCTGCCGCTGCGAGGGGGGATGAAGAAGAGAAGGTTGGGGGATGGTTGCGTATTTTTGTGATCGTGTGTGTGTGTGTTTGTACGAAGGGGTGTCGCGGGACGCGCACAGCGGCGCCATATTCTCCGCATTAGGGCCATCGATTCCAACAGTACTACTCCCATTTTCCCCCACCAGAGGTTGTGGTGATCCTGGCTGCACAAGAAAGCTTTTCTTGGCTGGCGCCGCGCAATCTCCGACCGTCGAAGGAGAGGAGGGTGTACGAGAGAGAATCGAATCATATCATCAAAAAGTGGTCGTGTTTACTCGCGGCCGGTCGCACGGACATACGCAGCCTGAAGAGCTCCATCGCAGCATCATCATCATCCTGCGGTCATCCCGACGATCGCACGATACCTATCTAACAGCAAAAAAAAAACACTATACGATCTGAATCTCATCCCTCTTTATTCGCATTTCGACGAGAGCAGCTAGATTCTCTTGCAGACAAAAACCAGTGAATTCGCAACGACTACTACAACAACAACAACCTTTTTGTTAGTGACCAGAGACAGAGGAGGAAGAACGATGAAACTGTTCGTGCTGCTTGTTGTGATCAGCGTGATCGCGTACTCATGCGACGCGAAGCGTAAGAGGAAGTTCGACGGTGACTTCGAGTTCGCCGAAGAGGTAAGTTTCGAGGACGTTCGCAATATACCTTACCTATGCACACCCAAGGGCCCCACCGAAGACAGGTGCCGCCGCTCGAACACTACAGCCGCAAGGCCCTCTTCGTACGCAACGCACCATCCTTCTCCTTCTCTACCTGTCAAGCAGGTTCTTTTCTCCGCAAGCCGAGAGACCCGGACCCCGGTCATTACCGAAACCTTAATGCCGTATTTACACACTTCCTAAAAAAAACACCTGAATCACCTTCGCGCCGCAATTACAAAAGAGCACTTTAACATCCTCGAACCATCCTCAACATTCTATTATGTTCGGGATTCAATGCGGCTTACGGATATAACACAAAAAAAAAATAAAATGAATCGAGAGGTGGACACCCCGGGGATTGGAGAAAGAAGTAACTATGGTCGTGCTGTGAACAAAATAAAAACTTTGTTCCTTCCCGATACAAATACTTATTTATATTACCATAAATCAATTGATTTAACTTACTTAAATTACAATGAATTTTACTTTATTTTTTTATTATATAACATTGCATAAGAAAACGAAATTTTGTAACAGATGAAAACAAGAGAAAATTATAATTTTCCATTAATTTTAGATTAAAAAATATGTCATAAAACGATTAGATTACTTAAAACAGATTTATTTTAATGACTAATATATTAACACTAAAACTGCGCGCTTCAAATAAGATTTAGGTTTTATATACTACATAGAAACCACATACTTTTTTAAATATACAATCACTTGAAATTTTATTAAACTTGTTAGAATTTCCATACATTTTTTAATAAAGATACTTAAGTTACTTAAAACTGGTATATTTATTTCGTAATAAATACAACATCACAGCAATTACTCTGCATTTAATATATGATTTAGATTGTATATAGACTTATAGGTTGAAAGAAGAACTTAATATAAAAATGCATGAAATATTGATTCAATATATAATCAGATTGAAAACAGTATTTCTAAGGATTTATATTGAATTAATTTTGTATTAAAAATTAGATTCCATTGAAAATAATTGTGTTTTAAAGATACTTCAAGAAATCTATAGACTGTTGAAATTATTATAAGTGTTGTGTAACAAAATATTTGTTTAAATTATATATTGATTTCATTGCAAGAAGAACATCTGTGTTGCAAATCGCAATAATTTATTTACTAGTAAAAAAAATATATTTAAATTATTACAATCTACTTTTATAACATCTTCATCCTATTTATCCTTAACCTTTCATTACGTTGAAATCAATACATGCAAATGAATGAAAAATATATATTAAACGAGTCGAGGACGAAACGAATAAAGCACGATTTTCTTGATTAGAATAAAATGTATGTTGCATACCTATTAGGTAACATGTTTTTTCTTGTAATAAATCAATTGAATTAAGTTCACATAAACCTGATTTATTTCCCGTAAAACTACATAAGTTCTTGGTATTTTAAATGAAAAACTTGTAGGAACTATTTAATCGTATCTTTCAAAATCTAGAAACAGTTCATTTTAAAGATTACACAATAATTGGTATTGAAGAAGACATTAGATACGGTTAAAATTTTAACTGATTTCATTGATAATAATTAATGTATATTTTTTTAATAGCTCATTAGTAAATAAGTATGTTTCGTTTATTTACTAATAACTCAATTGATTTGTATTTCACAAATCTGCTTTATTTGTCCAACAAGAAATATTATGCAACATTATTTTAAATCAGAATAATATTTAATGAACTAATTAATACCTCTCATAGTGCGGGTATTTGGTTCCAGCCAATATTCTGGACTATTTGAAAATGGAAAGGAATAAAAATAAATGGATTATATTTTTGATTACATTTTGAAATGTGTAACAATTAAAGTACATATATAAAATTTGTTATTATTTATTTTTTCTTTGTTTTTTGTTCAAAAAATGTTTTGTTCTGAATATAAAAAAAGCTATAATTATTATTTCTTTTATATCTTTGTATTTATTTATTTTTTCGTTTGTCCTGAAACCAAATGGCGCACATTTGGTTTCAGCACATTTATTGTAAATACACAGTAAACAGAAACCATGTAAACGTGCCATAAGCTTCCAATTATCTTCAATTGGAGCGTCCTCGCAATTTTCAAATTATATACACTTAAACGACAACTGTGCTTTAAGCATATTTTATGATTGCCCTGTGCAATAAACAAAAATTACTGCGCTAACTTTAGTAACGTAATTTAAATATTCCTTGTTTTTATAATTGTTGAATATTTCGCCATCTGCTTGTTTGAAATAATTACACGTATTCCTTAATTTACATGGTAGATAGGTTCCTAGGAAAAACGTGTAAAGAAAGTACCGTGTAGAAGCGAAAACGTGTAAAGAATATAACGTGTAAAACAAAATAGGTGTATTAAAGAAAAGGTTAATTTTATGTAATTTATTAAATATTTATTTTGACAAATTTTTCAATATTCAGTCAATTTTTTTTAATTTAAAGTTTTATTTCAAATTGATATTTTTTCCTAAAATTGCAAATTATCTAATATTTAAGAATATATTGTATATAATTTGTATTTTTTTTTATTGATTTTACTTTTACAATAAGTCAATTTATGTAATACTAAAGTTAATATCAAACTTTGTTTTTGATAATTTTTGTAATCTGTTTTGTATTTTGTTTCAAATAAAAATATTCTATGTACTGACTAATGGATAGTTAATTTTTGTACTTTACATACATTTTATTTACAAATTTATTCTCATAATAATTTCTGAAAAAAAATACATTAGCTATGTATAATTATCACAAGTTTAGTTATGAATTCAATCATAGTTACTAAAAAAAATATGCATCTTAAATATGCAAAATAAACTATAAACAAATACAAGTAATACCTTGTATAGTGCGGTTTTGATTAATGCGGATTCACTTTAGTACAGTTGGAAAATTTGAAAACAAAATTTTATTTAGAAAAATAGAAATAAATTTTAAAAATTTAGTACACAAAACTATTTTGTATACATAAATTATCAATTATCATTTTACTTCAAGTCTCTTTTTGTGCTGTTTATTTTTATGCCATTTTAAAGACTTCTATTAGTCCGGTTCAAAACCAATTACAAGCACTATTCGAGGTATTTCACTATAAGAATCAATAATTGTAATTTATAAAAAGGTATAATAAACTAATAAAAATAATTCATCACGTATATTTGTTATTACTTATGTTGATATTAATATTCAAAGCATATAATGAAGTGAATAAATGCCCAAATATTTGCAGGTATTCGCTGAGAATACGTAAACAGAATATTAGAATTGAGATGAGATGTTCGGAGCTCGACGCAATTTCTTGTCATTTCCTCTAGAAAGGTGGAAAGAAGGAAACGCAAATTTGGGCAATTCGCGAAACGCCTGGAAACCTGTAGAAACACGAGATGAACGAAGCTTCGAACCTCGATTCCATCGATAATCCTTACTTTAGTACCTAGTAAAAACTCCCATCGAGATGAAGTTATGATTTAATCCAATTATTGCGAATACGCTGCAGCCGAGGCAATTTCCCGGAGCCGCAAATTAGATCGACGGAGGTGAAATGGAAAGGCAGAACGAATGCGTTTCGGTCAATTGGTAAACTTCCTTCACAAAACTATCCAATTTAGTACATGCATTTTGTAGTAATCAGAAAACTTGTTCTTTATTGGATTCGAATTGTGTATGTTTATCAATGTAATGCAGTAAACTTTAGAATGGATTGATCTTAGAAAAATGTTTGGTAAACACGTCAGTACTAAAATTCTCTAAAGCAATTTTGAAAATGCACACAAACTGTTTTGTTTCTAAAGCACAAAATATATAATTACGTTCAATTGAAAATGAGATTTTAATTAAATCTTGAGGCGTTAATTAGTGTCAACAAATTTAATTGTTAGTAAATATTTTATGTGATATTATTCTTTAAGATTTACATAAAAACCGATTTTTGGAAGGAAAACCGGTTTTTGTATTTAAGTAATTTTTCTATATAATACCGGTTTTCAAATTTATTAACGAAAAACCGGTTTAGATATCGAATATTTTCAATTAAACCTGTTTAAAACATATAAGTAGAGCATGTTTCCACAAATATTCCGTACTATTTGAAACAGCACAAGACTAGACTGTAAAAAGAGATCATTTAATAGTGAATCTGGACTGATCTAACCCGCACTATGCGAGGTATTGCTGTATTTATTCAGATAAAGCGGTTGTTGTAATACCGGTTTTTATTATGAAAAAAAAAACTTATAAACAATATGTAATACCGGCTGTAATACCGGTTTTTATTTAAAAAATCACAAATAATATGTACATATAAACATACATATTTACTTACAGCAAACACAAAAATAATTACGTTCAAGGATAAAAAAAACAGTACGATTTTAATTAAATCCAACTGAAACGTTAAGTTGTTTTAACGAATTTAAACCGCTTGTTTTGCTGTATTCTTGCGATTTTAGTTGCAAACCGCGAGTTTCTTATACTTTTCTTTATTTTCTTCTTTCCTTTATTCCGCAACTGGAAAAGTTTCGAATGGAAAACATCGTCGATGGAAATTCGAGACGGATTTTCTTTTACGTTTATTTATTTACTTTATTTTCTTCTTCTCCTCCGTTTTCTTGCCTTCTGCTTACGCGATTATCGGGTTACAAATGGCAGTGAATTCTTCTGCGCACAAAGTGTGGTTCGGTTAATAATTCATAAGCACCTCATTGTTATGTTTAATTGTTCGCATCATGCGAGACCAAAATACGATGTACTTGTGCATATGTATCATAGACAAATGGTTGTTGCGACGTTCAAGGTTTAACGAACTCCTAAACTCTCGGATCTTGTTATTTGCCCCCAGACGTAACAATACTAATGGCTTCTGACTTCGACGATATCGCGTTTCTGTAAGCTTCTAATGCTCAGGAATATACTGTAATCATCATTACATTACTTACATCCATCTTTTTTTTC